TGCATTTTCGTCGGCTATCCTGAGGGCACCAAGGCCTGGCGATTCTGGGACCCTGCTGCGAAGAAATTCATCATTTCGTCACATGCTGTCTTTGACGAACACTGTTTCCCTGGAAATTCGCCCTTCATAAATGTTTTCGGCCTCCCTCTCGACGAGGTCGACGTCCCAGGACACGCGGACGACGACGGTGAACCCGCTGAAGACGTCCCTGATGCGCCAGAGCTGCATGATCAGGGGGGAGACGACTCTGATGATCCTGCACCTCCTGCACCTCCACCGCAAAATCCGCTCCCTGCGCCCCAGGACGTCCGCGAAAATTCCCCTGACCGTCCGGCACGTTCGCCCAGCCCTCCTGCACCTCCTGCGCCTCCGCCGGCCCCACAGCGTCCGGCAGTTCGTCGTCAACTCGACAACTATGACGGATACAGGCCATATCCTGCGCCTTCACGTCGACTCCCAGCTCGTTCTACGCGTTTTCAAGGCTCCCTGAATGACGACGACTTGCAGCGGCGAAATCTCTTGCCCCAGCGTTTTAGAGTCGACTCTCAGTCCCCTGCCTCGACGCCCGAGCCTGGCCAACGCGACGAAACGCCTCAGCGCAATTCTCCGTCGCCTGATCCCCTCATTGAAGCGCCACTGAGTCCACCTGCTGCACCTGCTCCGCTTCCTGAGCCTGTTTATCCACCCTCTCCTACCTCCAGCGACGACGAACTCGACTTCTTGCGTGGAGATGGACATGAGGACGCCTTGGCTGCTCGCTCGACGCGATGATTGCAGGCGTTGAGCACGTGTACTCCGCTGAAAGCGAGGATTTCTTGTCCTATGACGAAGCCCTCGATTTTGCGTTCGAGTCTGTGGCCCAGAATGCGTTCAAGGCGGACCAGGAGCACTTTGGCGAGCCTAGGACCTTTGCAGACGCGATGAAGCGACCCCCAGACGAGCGAGAGAAGTGGCTCAAGGCTGCTCAGGACGAGATCCAGTCCCTCGTCGAAAATGGGACCTTTGAGCTCGTTCAGCTGCCTCCTGGACGCAAAGCCATTGGTTCCCGGTGGGTTTTCCGTGTCAAGCGCAATGCTGATGGCTCAATCGAGCGGTACAAGGGCCGCCTCGTCGCCAAAGGCTTCTCCCAGCGTCCTGGCTTCGACTACAACGAGACCTTCGCTCCTACGCCAAAGTGGGCGTCGATTCGAGCCATTCTTGCGCTTGCAGCCCTGGAGGACCTCGAGCTCGAGTCTGTGGACATCTCCTCAGCCTATCTAAATGGCGAGCTGAAGGAGGAGGTGTACATGCAGCAGCCAGAGGGCTTTGAGCAGAAAACTCCGAGCTGGGTATGGCGTCTTCTGAAGGCCCTCTACGGCCTGAAGCAGGCTGGACGATGCTGGCACGAGAAGCTGCACGAGGTACTCACCAAACTCGGATTTTCGCGGCTGATCTGTGAGCACAGTGTCTGGGTCTACCTTCGAGATGGAGTGCGCATCATCATCCCTGTCTTTGTCGACGATATCACCATTGCAGCGAAGTCGAAAACCGCGATTCAGCGCGTCAAGGACGACCTTTGTACGCACTTCAAGCTCAGGGACCTTGGGCCGACGTCCTGGCTCCTAGGAGTCAAGATTGAGCGCGATAGAGCGAAGCGTTCACTTTCGATTTCGCAGCAGCAGTACGCTCTCGACGTCCTGGAGCGCTATGGCTTCGCAAACTGCGACCCTGTGGGCACCCCGATGGAGCCTGGCCTTCGTCTCAGCGCAGACATGGCTCCAAGACGTCGTCCGAGTCAGGGAGATGCAGAACATCCCATATGACAGGCAGTGGGTTCGCTTTTCTACCTTGCTGTGGCAACTCGTCCAGACATCGCACGCACTGTGGGCAACCTGGCGCGTTTTACGAAGAACCCTGGCATGACCACTGGAAGCGGTCAAGCACCTCTTCCGATACATCAAGGGCACCCTCGACTACAAGCTCACCTATTCCCCTTCGTCCGATTCCGAGATTTTCGCCTCCTACACCGATGCTGACCATGCTGGCTGCCCTGACACTGGTCGCTCACCTCTGGATACGTCGTTAAAATGGGTACAGGTGCGATTTCGTGGTCCAGTCGTCTTCAGACGATTGTGGCGCTCTCTACGACGGAGGCAGAGTTGTTGCAGCGGTCTCAGCAGGCCAGGAAATCCTCTGGCTTCGCAATCTCCTCACAGAGCTTGGTTTCGACGTCTCCCTTGCCTCCAAGCTTCGAATCGACAATCTCTCTGCGCTTTCTGTTGCGAAAAATCCCGAGCACCACGGACGCATGAAGCACCTCGACTTGCGCTTCTACTGGCTCAGGGACGAAGTCGCCAAAGGTCGAATTGAGATCATACACCTCCGCACTTCTGACATGCCTGCTGACATCCTGACAAAGTCGCTGGCTAAGCCGAAGGTGCTGGAGATGGTGAAGATGCTTGGGCTGGGGACTTGACAGGTCAGGGGGGAGTGTTGAGCTCGGAATTTATTCCGCATTTCTGCGAATTATTCTGAGCTCCATTGCCCTGTCCAAGTCGTGGAATGCGTCCTGGTGTGTTCTCCTTTATTCTACATGGACGCCATCACTATACCGTGCATACTGTACTTTTTCCGACGTCATTCCCTTCAGTCTACCATTTTCCATAATGTTTGCATCTTCAGGGATTTGAACCCCTGCACTCATCCGGTTTTTTCACTGCTTCGTTGATTTCGACTTTGTGGCTGTTTCTACTGTACAGTTATGGTCACCTTACGTAACGCACACCGTAGACAGTCCGCCTCGTCGAGCTCTAAGTCCCTAAGACTTTACAGAGCTCGACTTAGGTGTGTATCTTCGCTTTCTTGAATAAAAGACTTTACAGAGCTCGACTTAGGCCTTTGGAATTCGCTCTGAGGCGCACTGCAGCCAACATAATATGACTTCAGGAGTACTCTCATTTGCTGCAGCTGTTTCCTTTTACATGTGATGATGAAATATCAGCTACTCATGTTGGGTCCTTTCATGTTATATGGAAAGTGGAAATATAACACTTTAGACCCAGGTGTGAACATGTGTGATATTTGAACAGCATTGGAAATTTGTGGCACTGTGCCTACCAGTACACCATTTGGCAGTTGATCCTGGGTGGTATCTGCCATGCCCAAGGAATGTCAACATGAAAAATATAGTGTGTAATCCAAATATAGTACCATTGTATGTGCACACACAGTCAGCCATAAAATGACACTGGTAATTAATTACCTTGGGAGTGTGTCTAGAGATATAGAAATCCCTTGACTTATGACCAGAGTGCATGACCATTGATACTAGGCATTACTAGAATACCCAGGAGAGGCTAGTGTTTCAGGTTATCATCCATGTGGTCCCTCATGTTTCACAGAGCACATGCTTGATGATCAGTGGCAATCATTAACACACATACCCTTGCCTTGCTTTTTTCCTACCTTTTTTCGCCTTATTGTGCATCTTGGATGGCCTGGGAAAGTGGTGTACTGAGTCTTCCACTATTTGGATTCTATGAAGTATTTTATGTAGCTAAGAGGGAGCACACTTGGGAAATGCTCAAAACGAGCATCCCTAAGAGCAAGTCCAAACATTTATCTCATCTACCACTTGTTTCTGTACTCTTATGTACCTTCAATTCATCAGTGATCAATCCTGCCACCCATGACTCTATCAGTCTTGATGGCACTCACCATGGTGGTACATTGATTCACATCATACATTAGCCCATTGCTATTGGCTGAGCTCCAATCCAGTAACATACCTTAGTATGGCTTTGCACTACTGGTCAGTGCCTGGTAACTGTTCACTTCAGTGTACAAATGGTGACAGCAAACTGGACAGTCTTTGGTTGTATTCCTTGTATAACATGACAATTCTGGAAGGGACTTTTTTCAGAATTTCTTACTGGTATACTTCTCTGTCTACTGTTGATTGGTTTGTACTTGTGGAAGTACTGTTAACAATCTATTGAAAGACATCCTTCTGTATCAAAAGCTTCTCTCTGATCAAGGGCTTATACTTGTACAACAGCAAGTCCCAGCTGAGTAGTTGTTACTGTAGACCTCCCAGATTCCCCTTCTTTGAGTTCTAGTGATCTAGAGGCATACTTCTTTGCAACATTTCCAAGATATTATCTCTTTGTTGATATCAACACAAACTAGTAATACTATTCATTAGTATTCTGGTAATATTGGTAATTAACTTGGCAATTCACCAAGTAAGAAACAGATTCATAAGGTCTGTGTTCTCAACAGAGAGTCTCATATGAACATGCAATAAGTTACTCAAACTGACATGCATCCAACAAAAGGGATTGTACTGTCAGCTATGGCCCTCTCCCCAGCAAGTAGGGTTGTCCAGAACATGAGCAGTTCCAAGAGTGAAGTACTAGCAGGCTTATATAAGCTCACTGGGGCCACAGCAACCATATTACCAGGTTATTGAGAATGCTATCTGATCTGATGTCAAACCCATGCAATATACAGCTTCATTCACATTGCCTGGATCATTTTAAATATTGGCTGAATTGTCCGCTTTTTTCTGAGCCTATACAAGCTCTCTTAAGCACAGTCACAGTCCGCACTTACATCGCTTACTAAGCGCCCATTAAGTGCCCAGATGCCGTTCGGAGGTGCAACCGTGCTTGTCTTGTACCCATCCAGTTTGGGCAGTCACACCCCACCACCGCACTGAAAACAGATCTGGGGTACTTCAAGCAGCACACCCCCCTCCATTAGGCGCCCTTGAAGTGCCCGCCCCGTAATGGTCACATCAACTTCGTGGTACCTGGCACGTGTAGACTATCTTAGATACTCAGATTACCGTCTCGATTTGCGCTCGTCCGCTCGTCGTGTCGTGTTGCAGTGTGTCGTGAGAAATCACTGTGCTCTCAATCAGCAATAACTTACTGTAAAAAGTAGCCATGCTCCCAGATGATCTTCGTCTTCAAAGACTCAGGGCTCATGACAAAAGATACCAATGATCTTACGACAACTTGGCAGCTGCTCGGGACTTGGTAACACGAACATATGGCTACAACTCAGAGCGCGCTCAACAAATTATGAGTGATGAGTTCTTCCTGAATAGCAGGGGAAATAGGCCTTATAAGTGGCAGCTTGACATTGCTGAGGCTCTTCTTCTCGGGCTCAACTGTACTGCCATTGCTGGCACAGGAAGAGGGAAGACAATCCCGTTCATGTTGCCCATGTTCTTGCCCAAGAACATGAAGAAGATGGTGGCTGTCATGTCACCATTAAAGAATCTGCAGAGAGATCAGGTGAGTGACTCGATGCGCACCATAGCAATAAGCACTCACCAATGTGCCAGGCACGTCAGTTCCGTAAGATGAACCTGCCTGCGGTTGCCGTGAATGGCGACACATGGGACTCTGCAATGGCTTGTATAAGTGCCGTGTATTATTGAGATAATAATTCAGCTCACATGTACATAGAATATATGCACAAACAAGTATTGAGCAATCTTCACGTCACCCAAAATGTATATGAAACATGCGGAGTGCAACAATGTTCTTACCGAGCGAGGCCTATCGAAGGGAATCAGCGCACTCATCGTTGATGAGGCTCACTGTATCTCGCAGTGGGGCGGTGATTTTCGCCCGTCATACAGCAAAATGAGCCAAGTCCGTGCACACTTACCGCAAGGGACACCTGTTGGCTGTTTCTCGGCAATGATGGCACCAGATGCACTCGAGGAGGCAGAGAGAAGCATGGAGATTGACCCGGAGAAATCCTTCCACCTTAATCTTGGGAACGATCGACCTAATGTCCAGCAAAGAATTGTCAGAATGAAGAATTCCGAGGACTACAGTGCCCTCGACTCTATCATTGAAGTACCAACTGACGCTGCACCCTCTGACATACCAAAGACTCTCATGTTTGTGAATACTCGCCAGATGACCCAGTGTGTCTGGCACCACCTTCATGAGTGATTCAGAGAGCAGTTCCACAGTGCAATAGGGTTCCTGCATGCCAATCGTAGGCAGAAAGTGCGTCAGCATGTCATGGAGGAGTTTATATCAAGCAAGATCTGTATTCTTGTCTCGACAGAGGCTACTGGAATGGTGAGACCAATTCTAGATGCTCTTGTATCTGGGTCTGACGTTACAAAGGGTGCAGACATACTGGACATCCAGCCTGTGATCCAGTTCGGTCTCGCAGCATCTTGCTGTTGGCTGCAGTGCGCCTCAGAGCGGATTACAAAGGCCTAAGTCGAGCTCTGTAAAGTCTGAGGGGCTTAGAGCTCGACGAGGCGGACTGTCCACGGTGTGCATTACATAAGGTGACCATAACTGTACGTAGAAACAGCCACAAAGTCGAAATCAACAAAGGAGTGAAAAATCGGATGAGTGCAGCCTGCGGGTTCAAATCCCTGAAGATGCCAACATTATGGAAAATGGTAGACTGAAGGGAATGACGTCGGAAAAAGTACAGTATGCACGGTATAGTGATGGCGTCCATGTACAATAAAGGAGAACAAACCAGGACACATTCCATGACTTGGACAGGGCAATGGAGCTCAGAATAATTCGCAGAAATGCGGAATAAATTCCGAGCTCAACATGAAGAAGCTGCTGCGCTCATACACAAATGAAGACCTCTACGTCATTAAGCCAGCCTGTAGGATTGCAAACACAGCTGGCCATGCACCAAATGTTTACGCCAACGGAGTATTGACACTGGGCAAGCCAATGAGCGGTTGGATAGATAATCACACATTTACTAGATCGAAACACCAGGACTTTACAGAGCTGTCATATGAGTCGGACATGGATTATCCACATCTCCAGATGCAGAGCATGATGATTCGGATACCATGATTGGGATGGATTCTGGGGAGGACTAGGTACATGCTATGTAATATCATTGGGGACAAGGATCTGTGAACAGATGGCCTGAGCAAGCAGTGAAGATAGATCACTTATGATGCCGGGCAGTCAGGGCTACCACCTTAGACATGGGCAGCGTGGAATCACCAGTGATCCTGTCCTGCATACTGTACGACTGTTGAAGTGGCAGCAGTTCAGATGGCGCACCAGCAGGGTGCAAGTATATGTTGGGTAGTAGTGCTGACAACGAGGGCAACATTGAGCCCGCAGCAGTGAGATGCGGTGAGTCTGACTCGGAGCCACACCCAGTACGTATAGACTGTGTTCAAGAGGACAGGTTGGGTCTAGCTCTACTACATGACATGACATGGAGTCTACGATGTACCATCTGAGCTTCAGACTTGCCTGCATGTGACAGCCCAGGGGTACTGCGACTCGGAGTGCCATCAGAATGTGATATCGTTCTCCAGAACATTGGCAGCGGTCAAGGCCACTGGAAGTAACTGTCATCGGATGGAACACTGCTATCTGTGGCCTGCATGATTGTGAGCAACGATGTGATCACATTACTGATTTTTTCAAGGGAGCAAGAAAGTCACAACTCACCTGTACGGTCACTCTAGATCCCTGCCCCAGTTGTTGTGGTCGAGGTCTGGGTCAAGAGTTGGGAGACATGATGACCTGCAGTGACCCTGGTACATTGGTCTCCAACTCCGACTCCTTGTTCATCTGCTCAGGCTCAGGCACATGTCTATGGCTCTTCTGCACATTTGTGAGGTGCCGCTGACGCTTGTCATTGTCAATCCTGCGCAGAATCTGCAAGACTTCCTTGCTGCAGGTCTTTGCTAGAATCCAGGGCGGCTCAGTGATCTTCAACTCGATATCGTGCACCGACTGTATCTCCCTCAAGTTTTGACCATGTTAACATTTTGACATGATCATCTCTGAGAATTGCACGCGGGCTGATGGGCGCACCGCAGTACTTTGTCAGAGCATGCTGCCGATGTTGAGCTCGGAATTTATTCCGCATTTCTGCGAATTATTCTGAGCTCCATTGCCCTGTCCAAGTCATGGAATGTGTCCTGGTGTGTTCTCCTTTATTGTACATGGACGCCATCACTATACCGTGCATACTGTACTTTTTCCGACGTCATTCCCTTCAGTCTACCATTTTCCATAATGTTGGCATCTTCAGGGATTTGCACCCGCAGGCTGCACTCATCCGATTTTTCACTCCTTCGTTGATTTCGACTTTGTGGCTGTTTCTACTGTACAGTTATGGTCACCTTACATAACGCACACCGTAGACAGTCCGCCTCGTTGAGCTCTAAGTCCCTAAGGCCCCGTTCGGCAACAGAGTCAGACTGGGACTGACCCAGCCTGACTCTGAGCGAGCGGGTCTTGTAAACAAAGACAAACACACGCCGCCCATATGCGGATGTCATGCCCGCGTGCACTGTTAATGACACCGTACACTGCGCTCTGCGGTGTACGTTTGCCACAACAGGCTTGAAGCACCATGCCGCCTCCTGTGGATGACGATCTACGCCGCCGCCGCCTCGTACTTGTACTCCGTACTCATACTCCGCGCTGCCGTTTTCATTCAAACCATCCTCATTGCCATCATCACTGCTGTCGAACCCTATCTCCATCGAGAACCATGGCACACTTCCATTCTCACGGGAGAGGCATGGGTTCTTGAGCTGCTTCTCAGTCACACTCAGTGTATCTACTCCAAACTAGGTGTTCATCACCATGTCTTCTACGCACTCATAGACGAGTTGAAGGCCAATGGGTTCACCAATTCACGATATGTGATGCTTCACAGGCTTGTCTATTTGGCATATCGGGGAGCAGTTCCAGCGGTCAAATGAGACCCTATCTCTGTGAGTTTGTATCTCTGTGAGTTTGCCACACATAATCTAGAGATGTGCTGATTATTAGTGCAGATACTTCCGGTGAATGCTCATGTTCTTCTCCTCACCTGCGTTCTACATACAATAAATGGGTCCGTCTTCCTTCAGCTAACAACCCTGTTCCCACCCGCATTCGCAATGACCCTCGTTTCTTTCCCTGGTTCCGAAATGCTGTTGGTGCGATGGATGGGATTCAGATCCACGCCACAGTTTCAGCGCAGGATCGTCACAACGCACATAACTGGAAGGGCGGGATCATTCAAAATGTCCTTGCATGTTGCTCTTTCGACTTCTGCTTCTTGTATATGCTCAGCGTGTGGGAGGGTTCAATCACTGACACGGGATTGTTCCATGAGGCACGAAATGGCAGTCTACGCAAGCTCCCCAGCAAGTATTATGTTGCAGATGAAGGCTTGCCATCATGTGCGGATCTGCTTGTTCCATATCGTGGTGCTCGGTATCATCTGGCGGAATGGAGAAGGGCAGATCTCAGGCAAGTTGCAAAGTTGTAATTTCTTGTCTTTGCTCACATTGGTTTCCAGGCCCGCAAACAAAGAGGAGCTCTTCAATTTGCGGCATGCTTGCCGCCGCAATGTCATCGAGAGGATTTTCGGGGTTCTCAAACGCTGCTTCAAGATCCTTGTCATTGCACCCGGGTATGACATGGACATTCAAGCACGCATCCCACCAGCATTGGCAGCGGTTCACAACTTCATCTGGGAGCACAATCCAGACGAGATTGCAGAGTTTGACAATATCCTGGAGGGGCAGTGGTTTGGTGAGCTCAGGGCCGCTCTGCCCACACATTGTGAGCGAGGAGAAGTAGATGCTGTGCGAGATGTGATTGCGGAGGAGATGTGGCAAGACTACCAATGGTTGTTACAGGAGCAGGACAACCTAGAGGCACATGATAATCTGTATGTGGAGCTAGAATAGGCCACGGTCTACGTTAAGCTTCCTCTCCAACCATGCCTCCCGCACTTCATCCAAGTCAAGCTCTAAGTATGTATCTGCAGTGTTGCTATCCTTCTCAAAGATATCCACCATCCTGACCTTCTGATCCTTGTCGAGGTTCAGCTCCTTCTGCACACACTTGATCGCCCTACCCCTACGAGCAGGCGTAGGCGGGATACCATTGCCAGGAGTGAGAGCCAATACTCCGTCACAAAAAATGTTGTTGAATGTCGTTGAAGCTGGTCAATTGGACACCTAAGCCTGCCAAAGCCGACAGCACGGAACCCAATGCATGGGCACGCTTTGGTTTGGAAGCCGCAGCAGAACCCGGGCACTTTGCAGGAACAGCACGAGGCAGCGTAACAGGTTCAACAGGAGCACCCATACCTGCATCATTACCTGCTTTGTCCCCACGCACTGGGCTCAGTGATCTGGACCTTGACTCGGAACACGATGCACTCGCAGAAGCTGCCGGCTCTGAGTCCTCGCCCATCTGAGGATCTGTATCTGATGCGGGGCCTGTGGCCTGGGTGGATGGGTGGAAGGCGTGGGTGCCCTTCCCTGTTGATGGCATAATTTGCACCACAAGGTCGTAGTAATCCCAACCCTTGTTGCGGAATGCTGCAGCCGCAGGGTTTTTCTTGAACACATTGTCAGCCTAACAACTAGGCAGATAAGTTGTGGGAGTACCTTTATGTATGCCTGCCACGTAGGCTCGGACCGTTCGTTGATAGTTGTGCCCGACTTCGTGTCCCAGTGGAAGCCCAATTGACTCATCAACTTGTCGACCACCTTGAATGTCTCATGAAGCTAGAAGGGATTAGTGTTACTGCATTCCTCATGCAGTGACACGAACTCACACGTTTCCACTTGGTCTGGCAGGACCCAGTGGTCTTCTTGGTCCTAGCTGTCGTTGCCTTTTGAACGGTCTCAACAGCACCACTGAAGACGGAGGCTGGGAAATTTCCGCCATCTCCCGCCTCAGCCTTGTGCTCAATGAGATAGATGATGAGCGCGTGGGTATCTTGATCGCGCCACTGTGCATCCTTGGTCTTAGCCATAGTGTACGAGTGAGGGGAGGTCGTCACAGAGGCAGTGTGCTGACAAGCCGCAATGTTCGTCCGCATTGGGAAGTGGCTGAGTCACTCTAGTCACAGAGTGTCACACTGGTCAGCCACCTCGGTGTTATGCTCAGGGACGGTCAGGCTGGGTCAGTCCCAGTCCGATTCTGTTGCCGTACAGGGCCTAAGACTTTACAGAGCTCGACTTAGGCCTTTGAAATCGCTCTGAGGCGCACTGCAGCCAACAGGTTATGAGCCCCGTGCTCTGAAGGCCTCCAGACGTCCATATCTGCCTGTCCAAACGCTCTGTGGCCCTCCCAATGTGTCCCCCTTCGCTCTTTCAGCCTTCCTGCACTTTGAAGCCCCTGTCTTCGCCCCTATTCGATCTTTGGTCAATATCTTGCTCGTCTCTGCGCAGTTTTACCCTGTTTTTCGCTCGATCCATCCATCCGCACGTCGCCCTTCGAGTCGTCATCATGGCGCCGTCCCCTGCTTCCTTCCCAATCTCACCAATCACAACTACCAGCAATGGAGGCTTGACATGGAGGCCAGACTTCGCACTCTTGCAGCTCTTCGCATTGTGAAGGGCTCAGAGACCAGCCAGGCCTTTACCCAGCCCCTGGACGCCTCAGAACACCGAGATATGCGCAATTTCGAGAACAGGAGGGACCTGGCAGCTGGGGAGATCGGGGGGTGTGTGGAGAGGGAGCAGCAGACACATCTGGAGGCAATTAGAGACGATCCTGAGACGATGTGGTTGAAGCTGGAGTCTGTGCACATGCAGAAACGACCTGGTACGCGTTTTAACACCTACAACGCGCTCCTGAGCCTCTCAAGGGCCGAGGACGAGTCCCTGTCAATGCTTTCGACGCGAGCTTTGCAGCTCAAGTCCGATATGAAAGCCCTTTGTCCCCAGGACTTCAACATCGCGAAACTCAACAATGAGCTCGTCCTTATGGCTTTAATCCGCGCCCTGCCCACCGAATTCGCTTCTCTTCGCCAGACCCTCTTGCTGGACGACGCCCTCACGCTTGAGAAGCTCCAGGACACATTTGTCACCCTCGAAAATCAGCCTGGTGCGTTATCGACGATCCCTGTCCTCTCCCAGGTTGCTGCTGCCATCATCTGCGCTTTCTGCAGTCGCTCAGGCCACTCCGAGGAGCAGTGCTTCTCCAAACGCGATGCTAGTGTCAAAGCGAAGGAGAAGGTGTCGCAGTGCACGCAGGTTCGCTCTGGAAAGGGCAAGGACAAGACGAGGGAGGCAAAGGAAGCATTGAAAACCGTCCAGGATATGCAGGATGCGTCCCAGGAGTCCGCTGGAGTGGCCACTGTGAGTGCTGGTTGCGCCTCTGCCCTCCTATCTACCTCGGATCGCGCCTCCTGGCTTTCTACGCCTGCAGCAGCTAACTGGAACACCGACACAGATGCTTCTGCACACATGACACCTCACCGCCACTGGTTTTGCTCCTACTCTCCCCATTCCATCCCCATTTGCCTCGCCAACTCGCACATCGTCTATTTGGCTGGACTAGGGTCTGTGGTCTTTCAGCCTGCGGAGGGGGATGGAGTTTTACCGCCAGCTGTTGTACTGCACGACGTCCTTCATGTCCCTGCGCTTGCCAGCAATTTATTGTCCGTTTTTCACCTCACACGCGAGAAGGGCTACGTCGTCGAGCTGCAGGCTGCGAACACATTCTTCTACCAGGAGGGAGAACTCCGCTTCGAGGCGTGAGTTAACGAGCACAACGTCGGCTACCTGCTAGGCCAGACTGTGTCTCAAATGAAGAATGCATCATCCGCTTCGACGACTTGCAATCTGGACCTCGTGCCTTGGCACCAGCGTTGCTCGCACGTCAATCTCGACGACCTCCGAATGGCGCACTCGAAGGAGCTCGTTTCTGGCCTCACCATTCGCTCGAAGTGTACGCCTGATCCCATCTGTGAGCCTTGCCTAGCTGGTAAGCTGCATCAGCACTCTATCCCTTGTCTTGTGTCCAGAAAATTCGTCCGCATTGCCCTCGTCCACACCGACCTCAAGGACCCTCTCCCGACGCCTACGCCGGAGGGGCACATTTATTGGATGATGTTTATCTGCGACTCTTCGAGGTTTTGGGTTGTGGCCTTCCTGAAGCGCAAAAGCGACGCGTTCTCTGCGTTCCAGGTGTTCAAGGCATACGCCAAAAACGCCCTAGGCCTCGTCCTGAAGGCTACGCGTGACGACAAGGGTGGGGAGTACATGGGCAAGCAGTTCGTCGATTTTTGCGCTCAGCATGGCATCCAGCGTCAGCACACTGAACCAGATGAACCCCACCAGAATGGTGTTGCAGAGCGAGCTAACAGGACAATTGCTGAGGGTGGGACTGCCCTCCTTGTTCAGTCAAAGCTCCCTCCGTCGTTTTGGGGCCATGCTGTCTCTACCTTCGTCCACACAAGGAACCGCATGCCTACGTCGTCCCTGCAAGGTGCTGTGCCCTGGGCTGCCTGGAAAGGCGATGGGCGCAAGCCAGATGTCTCCTACTTCCGCATTTTTGGCTGTCTTGCCTATGTGTTGGTACGGAAGAAAGACCGCAAGGCGATGCAGCCGCACACGAGAAAGTGCATTTTCGTCGGCTATCCTGAGGGCACCAAGGCCTGGCGATTCTGGGACCCTGCTGCGAAGAAATTCATCATTTTGTCGCATGCTGTCTTTGACGAACACTGTTTCCCTGGAAATTCGCCCTTCATAAATGTTTTTGGCCTCCCTCTCGACGAGGTCGACGTCCCGGGACCCGCGGACGACGACGGCGAACCCGCTGAAGACGTCCCTGATGCGCCAGAGCTGCATGATCAGGGGGGAGACGACTCTGATGATCCTGCACCCGGCCCCACAGCGTCCAGCAGTTCGTCGACAACTCAACAAGTATGACGGATACAGGCCCTATCCTGCGCCTTCACGTCGACTCCCAGCTCGTTCTACGCGTTTTCAAGGCTGCCTGAATGACGACGACTTGCAGCAGCGAAATCTCTTGCCCCAGCGTTTTAGAGTCAACCTGCCTCGACGCCCGAGCCTGGCCAACACGACGAAACGCCTCAGCGCAATCCTCCGTCGCCTGATCCTCTCATTGAAGCACCACTGAGTCCACCTGCTGCCCCTGCTCCGCTTCCAAAGCCTGTCTATCCACCCTCTCCTACCTCCAGCAACGACAAACTCGACTTCTTGCGTGGAGATGGACATGAGGATGCCTTTGGCTGCTCGCTTGACGCGATGATTGCAGGTGTTGAGCACGTGTACTCTGCTGAAAGCGAGGATTTCTTGTCTTATGACGAAGCCCTCGATTTTGCGTTCGAGTCTGTGGCTCAGAATGCGTGCAAGGCGGACCAGGAGCACTTCGGCGAGCCTAGGACCTTCGCAGATGCGATGAAGAGACCCCCAGACGAGCAAGAGAAGTGGCTCAAGGCTGCTCAGGACGAAATCCAGTCCCTCGTCGAAAATGGGACCTTTGAGCTCGTTCAGCTGCCTCCTGGACGCAAAGCCATTGGTTCCCGGTGGGTTTCCGTGTCAAGTGCAATGCTGACGGCTCAATCGAGCGGTACAAGGGCCGCCTCGTCGCCAAAGGCTTCTCCCAGCGTCCTGGCTTCGACTACAACGAGACCTTCGCTCCTACGCCAAAGTGGGCGTCGATTCGAGCCATTCTTGCGCTTGCAGCCCTGGAGGACCTCGAGCTTGAGTCTGTGGACATCTCCTCAGCCTATCTAAACGGCGAGCTGAAGGAGGAGGTGTACATGCAGCAGCCAGAGGGCTTTGAGCAGAAAACTCCGAGCTGGGTGTGACGCCTTCTGAAGGCCCTCTACGGTCTGAAGCAGGCTGGACGATGCTGGCACGAGAAGCTGCACGAGGTACTCACAAAACTCGGATTTTCGCGGCTGATTTGCGAGCACAGTGTCTGGGTCTACCTTCGAGATGGAGTGCGCATCATCATCCCTGTCTTTGTCGATGATATCACCATTGCGGCGAAGTCGAAAACCGTGATTCAGCGCGTCAAGGACGACCTTCGTACGCACTTCAAGCTCAGGGACCTTGGGCCGACGTCCTGGCTCCTAGGAGTCAAGATTGAGCGCGATAGAGCGAAGCGTTCGCTTTCAATTTCGCAGCAACAGTACGCTCTCGACGTCCTGGAGCGCTATGGCTTCGCAAACTGCGACCCTGTGGGCACCCCGATGGAGCCTGGCCTTCGTCTCAGTGCAGACATGGCTCCCAAGACGTCGTCCGAGGTCAGGGAGATGCAGAACGTCCCATATGATCAGGCAGTGGGTTCGCTTTTCTACCTTGCTGTGGCAACTCGTCCAGACATTGCACGCACTGTGGGCAACCTGGCGCGCTTTACGAAGAACCCTGGTATGATGCACTGGAAGGCGGTCAAGCACCTCTTCCGATACATCAAGGGCACCCTCGACTACAAGCTCACCTATTCCCCTTTGTCCGATTCCGATATTTTCGCCTCCTACACCGACGCTGACCATGCTGGTTGCCCTGACACTGGTCGCTCTACCTCTGGATACGTCGTTAAAATGGGTACAGGTGCGATTTCGTGGTCCAGTCGTCTTCAGACGATTGTGGCGCTCTCTACGACAGAGGCAGAGTTCGTTGCAGCGGTCTCAGCAGGCCAGGAAATTCTCTGGCTTTGCAATCTCCTCACAGAGCTTGGTTTCGACGTCTCCCTTGCCTCCAAGCTTCGAATCGACAATCTCTCCACGCTTTCTGTTGCGAAAAATCCCAAGCGCCACGGACGCATGAAGCACCTCGACTTGCGCTTCTACTGGTTCAGGGACGAAGTCGCCAAAGGTCAAATTGAGATCATACACCTCCGCACTTCTGACATGCCTGCTGATATCCTGACAAAGTCGCTGGCTAAGCCGAAGGTGCTGGAGATGGTGAAGATGCTTGG